AGATACAACTTAAAATCCTATTTACCCTACCACTAACAACAGCACACTGCTTGGATAGCTTGAGAGTGATCAACTATTACACCAAGATCCCTTTCTTTCATGACACTGTTAAGATTATTTCCATCCAAATTATACTATAATTCACATTATGATAACCCACATGCATTATATTGCATTTATTATAATTAAAATCCATTTGCCATTTACTTGCTGAACTCTCTATGATCTAAATCCCCTTGTAAATCAGCAACATCCTTTTAACAGCTAGGAACACCCAAGATCTTAATATCATCTGCAAATTTAAGTCATTTATTGACCATTCCTTCATCTACATCACTGATGTAAATCAAAAAGAGCAAAGGTCCTAAGACTGAGCCCTGAGGTACCCAATTATAACGTTAATCCAGTTTGTCTAAACTTCATTTGTAACAACTCTCTGCTGTCTTCTATCCAGCTATTCTTCTATCCAATTTGCTAACTTATCTCTCACACTTGTAGAGAGTTTTTTTTTTTTTACAAGCCAGTTATGTGGCATCTTGTCAAATGCTTTCTGAAAATCCAGATACACCAAATCTACACCCTTACCCTCATCTGCATAAGTAGTAACCTTTTCAAAGAAAGTTGAAGTAGTTATCAGGAATTTTGAACCATCCATTTGGAAAAGCCAGTAAGTCCACTGAAGCTAAAGATATGCTAAATTTTCATATTTTTGGCTAATGATACTGCTTCAGAAAGGAAACCTAAAAATCCAATTTCTGCAATGGGTCATTTTTTCTGATTAACATGAGCTTACCCAATTTACAGATATGGGTGGTATTAAAACAAATATTGAATATATCTTTTAAGAACTTAACTTGTTATTTGTAACATGCTACATTTTTATTATTTTTGTCAATCATGATCTTCTAAAGATTTGAAAGATTTTTTTTGTGCACTTTGTTTTCCACTTCTTTCTTTTTAATGGTTAGTTGTTTTCTATCATGAAGGAAATTGAAGCTCTGTTTGCAGGAGAGAATTGTCCCAAATTTTTGTCTTGTGAATTTGCTCACAATGATAGCTGGTACATAACATTTGAATCAAATGAAGATGCTCAGAAGGCTTACCGCTATTTGCGTGAAGAAGTACGTACTTTCCATGGAAAACCTATCATGGTATGTTGTGAAGGCATGTATTAAATGCATTAACTTGGCAAGTGTTATATTACTTGGTTTGTGTAAAAGCAAATACTGCATGGAAAGCTTAAATTAAGAAGTCTATATTAGTAAGCTTTTCTGGTGGTAGTGTTGTTAAGTAGATTCGTTGTGTTCTGACAAGTGACCTTATGGAATATCAGTAAAAAGTAAATACAGTTATGGCAAAAGTAACATAAGCTTTTAAAAAATGATTTATTTAATATATATTTTGTTTAAATGATAAGTTTTAAAATGTATTTTCCTTCATTCTATATCTTCCTATGCAGAAAGAGCATGTAATACATCTTTCTTTTATCAGAGTAGTTATAAGTTAAGATGTAATGATTTACTATTAAGGTAACAGTGGTATTAAAGTCACATAAGATTTTATGAAGCTCTGCAAGTTGATGATATATTGTTAAATAGTGGGTTTTCACTTTATTTAGAATTAACATAAAACTAAGACTGTTTGAATTAACACATTAATGGTTTTAATACAGAAATGAAGTTATCTAAATATTGAAACTTTTTTTAGCAGTTGCTCAGTCCAGTATTTTCAGTGTCTTCATTTTTTGTTTTGTGGTCAGGCTATTACTTGTGTAGAAAAAACAAAACAAAAATAATAATAATAATAATCTTAATATAGGCCTATTCTGGTAATTTGAGCACTAAGCATGGAGAAGACTCTATTCTATTCAATAACTAATGCTTATGACAGAAATTTATTGAAGCTTATGTAGCAGTTTTTATCCCCTTTTATAGAGACTTGCTTTCAACGCCTAGAATCATCTAGTTTCAGACAGATGTAGTTGTTTACCTGTTTCATCTTTGAATTGATGGAAAGCTCTGAATTTATGTTGTTACAAAAGAAATTCACAGATTTCTGTAGGGTTACTTTTAACAAAGATGGTTAGGTTTAAGGATTGGAAGTTTGAAAGAAAAAAGAAAAATTAAAGCTTTTTAATAGGTGCAGATATACAAGGATACTTCAAAAAGAGAAGGATGAAGTATGAATAATATAAACTGTTTTGATCTAGGCTGCTAGAATTGAAAATAGTAGAAATGTTTTAAGTCTTAGATGTAGACAACTTTAATACTTTAACGTTTTTTTGTAAATACTTATTGTGGTTGAAGTCAAGATACATGTATGTGAGTAAAGCCAAGATGAATTTGTGAAAGAGTGGATGAGCAAATGTTGAACTCATTCAGTTGTAGTCAAGTCTGTCAATTTTTCTTCCATATCTCTCAGTATAATAGTTTATTCTCCCAAGTACATAGTTAGCATAGTCCTAAAGGTTGTGATTGGAGAGTGAAGTGAAGAAACTTAGATATGAAGCAGAGAAGTTTATTTGGCTAGAAATTGGATTTCTCTTTGAACCTTGTATATATCATTGCTTTAACTTACCTTGTGACATCAAAGAGCTTGGTATTACAGTAGCTTAGGAATGAAACGCATTCCCCTGAGACAAGGTCTTTTAGGTGATCAAAAGTATGCCCAACAGATATAGGGATAGCATCAGTGATGGAAATGCTGATATAAATACTAATTTGTCTTTCCTAAATGTGACTGTTGGACAAGGTGATTCCTCTCATTGATTTAAATTTGAGAGTATTATTCATGTTTATGAAACTGGTCCACCAATTGCATATAAATAACCAATGATGCTCCAAAGTACATTTTTATTATTGCTCTCTTGTTTGTTTGGCTAAATAACAATAAATGTACAATTTTGCACTTTTAATTTTTGTATAGAGTAGTTTACTGTTATTGAATAACTTGGTTAGATACTACAGGTATTTAAAACACATTTAATTGATTAGTATACTGCATGTAGTTAAGAGTATGGAAGTATATTTTTAGTTGACAGGGTCTGCATTCAAGACTTGTACAAATGTGATGTCTAAAGTCTAACTGGTAACTTTAAAAGTATGAACTTGTGACTACTTAGGAATGTCAGTGAAGACCATTCAAAACCTGTGTAAACTTCCTTGTACTAACACAGTAAAAGGATACAGCATATTGATGTAAAGAACTTTGCTATCTCAACTAGAGATTATCCACATTATATTTTACTGAAGTAAACCTTATAAACCATATAAAACTTGGTAAACACCTTTGAAGTGTCAAATGTATACTTGTATATCAAATTTCAAAATATAAGTAGAAATGATAATTCTAACTTTATTTTAGCAATTTTTACTCAAACATTTTTGAAAATTGATATTTATCATTTTGAAATATTTATTTAGTGTAATTTATAAAGATATGAGGGAAAAAAAGTTCAAAGTTACATTTCTACACAGCTCTTAGGAGTCTTGCCCGTAAACAATACATATTTTTTTCTGCCCAAAGCTTAGGTTCATATTTGCTACGAAACTATCATCCAATAAAACTATTTGGTTCATCACATGGACTTCCTTCTCTTTCTTTGGTTTTATTAGTACATCTTCTTATTCCAACTCTGTTATGAAATCATAGCATGTGGTGTGTATAACTGTTAAAGAAGCTCATCTTTGAAAATAGTTATAAGCAAAGTTTAGAAACCGTTATATCTGATGGAGCAGGTTAAAAAAGTAGTGTAAGATTTAACTTGCAGTACAGTGAAAATACATGAAAAGAACAACAGTAGAATATAATGGAAAGTTTAGAATACCTAGGAACAAACCACAGTTCTGGAAAAAATTTTGTTTATTTGAAAGCTACGGAAATGTTCTTGTATGATAAAACATGAAGTAAACAAAGTTAGTGTTAGAGAATACAGTAGACTATGATAGAACATTTCAATGACTCAGTGAACATTATTGTTAAATTTACAGTATTTGAACAATGCGCGCACACACACACACACACACACACACACACACACACACACACACACACACACACACACACACACACACACGTAGTAGTAAGTAAGTAATTAATTAATTAATAAGTAAAGTAAGTATTATTATATATAATATATACTACAACTATATAGTTAGTAGGTTATTTTT